CCTCGCTCGTAAAGAGGATTCATACAGATATGAGTGTCGTACCGCGTTTACTTTACACAGGTACAAAAGGTCGTCCAGAATAAGTGTTTCGTTCTGGAATGAAAACCTCAATAAACTCATTCAGAAATGACTCGCTTCGAATAATTTTACTCTGGTATCATGTGGTAACCAGGATGAACTCGATCTTGAACAAAACTCATTCCGATATCATGTAAAAGGCCCCTAATAGTTTTTTATTCCCAGAGCATCATGCTTTGCTTTCCTGCCAGAACACTATAAATTTCAATAGCGTTGAAGCAACAACCCGCTTTGAACTGCTACGCTGCCACTGAAATAACGCTTAGTGACCACAAAAGTAACATGTTGTAATATTGTCAATTCAACATAAACAAACAAAAATCTTCATACAGGGTAAATATTCATGTGTGTTGGTATCAATTATTGCGTGACTAGCTTCTGATTTAACTGGGATAGGGGAAAACACAACGTAAAACCTGGGCTCCCGGCAAAAAGTAATACCCAAGCGTAATATAATGACTGAAACAGCTTATTGGTGTTATAAAATCATAAATAAACTAGGTAAGAGTGTGTTATGTTAAGATATATTTACAAATTGTAGTGATTTATGCCTCGATATGCCAATAAAAGGTGACGATAAGTAGGCACACCATGTATATTTCATAGTCGCTAGCAAATAAATTTTGCCGGAATTTGAGTTCGTCTCACGATAGAACAACACAATTACATAGAAAAATTTTTACAGTTACTTTATAACCATCCTTTTTTCTTTTAAAAGCTAGAAGCTCAGTAGATTCTGTCATATCGGTCATTGTTAAAACTGTCTTTGTTTACTTTTCGACATAGAAAAAGTATGTCGGACAAAAATATTCACCAAAAGATAAATGTTTTTTTGCCAGCCTCAATAATGTCAGGGGATTAAGTTAAGATGATAAAACAAAGGATTATGCCAACAGAAATACCGGAGGTCAAGTAAATTCGTTACATGAGGCCACACAACTCGGGTAATATTCAGAGCGAAAATTTGCATATTTGAGCGTTCGAACTAAAAAAATCATTTCTCAAAAACTAAAATATATTTTCACAAAAAAAAATACACCACTATTATTAAGACATATTGGGATACAAGATATGAAAGTAGGAGAGAAAACGAATTCGGGCGACTTGCCGCTGTTTGTATGATGCATGTTGACATTAGCTCTTAATTGGCTTCTGATTTTGTGTCTATGTATCCCTCCCATTCTCAGAAGGGAAAAAATATTTATTTTGCAACTGGGTAATATGTTGAGCTGATGTTTACAACCATTTTCAATCACCTTTTTTTCAGGCCAGGATGACTTAAAAGAACAACTTTTTAGGAAGCATCAGTTTTCTTACAGTTGCTATGGCTACAGGAAGAAGTTCAATTAAAGTTCCATGTGAAAATGAAGACTTACCTGACAGAGAAAATGCACCAGATTTTGATGAGGACACTTTACGAGGTGAGCAAGGTTCAATATCGGCTTCAGTTATTGTTAGAACAATGTCTATTCGATCAGTTTCAAGAATGCCAGCAGATGTGGAAAAGGATATATACAGTGTATGACCACTTTAAAGGATACTTGACCAGTCATGACTCTCTTCTATGATTACAATATGCTGTTCATTGAGAAGATCTATGACACAGAAACTTTTGCTATTTTCTTTTCTAACACTTCAAAGAAATTACACAAAGTTATAATAAGTTAAGACTTTATTTGATCATCGTACAACATCCATTGTGTAAGTTTGCATCATAGGTACCATCATCATCATCACCATCATCTTTCTATTTTAATGAAACATAATCACTTTGAAACCTTCAACATTCCCTCCCTTCTCCTCGAGCAACCCACAGGTATTTGATCTTCATCCAAACCAAAGAGGAAGGGGGGGGAGGGGGTTTAACCCTGCCTGACTGGCGTTAAGGAATTTGAATAAAAACTGTCACATCTAATTTCCAGTAGAGTACAAGTGTTAATTATCATTGAATATGGAGGTGTTTAAGGCAGATAGTGCACTTTCACTAACAAATGTCTCAGAAGAAATAAGGCTTCAAGGTCTAGGTTTTAAAGCTTTGTCAATTAGTTTTTAAAGCTTGATCAATTAGTTGAAAGTGAAATTGCTAATTATTTCGCCTTTTACATAAGATTGTGTGGGGCAATTGAACATTTTATTAATTTTTCCCAGGGAATAGGAATTTTAAGAAACCTATCTCCAAAATCTCTCATCTCCAGGGGTTTGCCTCGAATTAAGTGATGCTTATAATTCTCATCATTATTCTTACCCATGTTGTCACCTACATTGTTAGCATCATCATAACTATTGAAAATCTGCAGATTTGAAATCTCCAGATCTTGGCAGCTCTGACTATACACGAATAATTATTAACTACGACCACAGACTTTGACACCCATTTTTTAATTTTTTTTCGAATTATTTTATTTTTTCTTTGCAGCCACAGCTGATGTTTATAGGAATGAGGGTAATGAGGCCTTCAAGAAAGGAGATTTCATCAATGCTATTCATTTTTACACCAAAGGAATTAAAATGAACTGCAATGACAAAGAACTGAAGGCCAAACTGCACAACAACAGGGCAATTGCACATTCTAAACTTGGTAAGATGATGAGAACTTTAATATGCATTTTTTTCTATTTTGAAGCTATTGAGTTGTCAGTAGTAGTTTTCTGGAAAAGGTGATAATTTTGAATGCATGTCCAGAAAAATTTACATCTTATCTTGACCTCTCAAATATACAAAGAAGTAACCTCTTACCCCAGATATCAATGAGCATCACAAGTTTTTCCCAAAATTATAGTAATGGTAGTTGGTTTGCAACATGTATGGCTAATCAGAGATATTTATTTCAATAACAGGAAATCACCAGGATTCACTAAGGGATGCAGAAGCAGCCATTGAGTTAAATCCAACTTTCCTTAAGGCAATTGTGAGAGGTTAGATATGTTAGCTGTACTATAATAATAATAATAAAAAAAGAACTCAACACTCTAAGGTTAAATGAGGTTAAATGGAGATCAATCTTGTCTCAATTGACTTTAATTAAGAGGTCGAGACCACCCTGATGTACATTTGAATCCAGCTCTTGACTGCTATGCCATTACTTTCCATTAATCATGATAAGAATATTATTTTGAACGGGATGAAGAACTCAATGCGGAATGCAAAGCAAAATTTCAGCATGAATATTTTAGTTCCTTAAGTTCAATGAGTCACAGGTGTCAGATATGTTAAGAGCGTGTCCACGTGAGCACAGCGGGCAGTCGTGGTACATGCCATCTCACCGATTTCAATGAGACTTAACCAATTTAAAGGGTCTACCCCAAACCTCAAAAAGACTAACTGGTTTCTGTTTTGGTTTCTTCCGGGAGGAGATAGACCACCCCCCGGTTTTTCTTGGTTTTCACCAGGGAAATCGCTTCAAATAGGTAAAATGTATGAAGCTCTCACTGCGATGGTATTTAACCGATTACTTTGAGGATTTGCACACATATTTTTACATCCTTACTTAATGTCTGCTGCGAGTATCAGTCAGTTTGATTGACGGCTTGTCAATCAACAGAGGCAAATATACGACTTTGGTTTTAGACTTTTCGATTCATCCAAATATTTGACAACTTTGAGGTCAAATATCTCCCGTTGCCAGAAAGCTACAACACTAATCCTAATTCCCCTTTATAACCCATCATTTCATCTCTGAAAATCATCAAAAAAATCTTTGGGCACTACCGTATTTTTGTCTTGGATACCTTTTAAAATCTGCGACTGTGACAAGTTTCTCTCAACTACACCTGTCACGCAATTCTTGCTCTAGGCGGTCGCTTGACAAAATAAACCTATATTTTTTAGCTCTTTATACAAGATGATTGATCAAGAAAGGTGAAAAATGTGAAAAACTTTCGAGATTTTTTGTAGGAATGGAAAATTTCACGTTTAGAGAGATGCATGTAAACGAAACATCAATGGGAAAATCGTAGCGTTTCTTTCTTCAGTCGTTTATTACTTTGAAGATTTGCTAAAATCAGCAGATATGGCTTTTGCACGGCACAAAACATTCATTAGTCAATAATATGATTGTTAATCATCATCATTGCTCATTTTAGGAGATTTAAAGTCACATGCCGCGTGTTGGTTGATACTACCAATTGTTCCAGTGTGCTACAACTTCGGCTTTTACAGACGAGAAATTCTGCGCTCTCGCTCGAGAGCAAATATCAATAGTTCTATCGGACTAAAAACTGTGCTTCTATCCCGAAAATAAAATTAAAATAGTGTTGTCGTTGTCACTTACCGCCATCGAACATTTACATGCAGAACTGACCGCTAAGCTAACATCTGTTGTGTGACCCGAAGACTCTCCGTAGGAATTATTCAAGCGCGTTGTTCGTGCTGTCTGCTAGATAACAATTTCAAAATAATCTGCAGCTCACTATGATTATTTACCTGCTTCCATCGTAAAATATCTGCATATTTTTTTCAAGCATTCTACTACTACATATAAATCTACATCTCTCTAGATCGAGTGTTGACGGCGTTTACTTGCGTGACTTGTAAAATTTTCAAATAAGAATGAGCCAGCAGTAATTTGACGAGTAGCCTTCCTGCAAATTTCCCTTGATGAAATACCAAGACATAGTCAGTTGTTTTCGTAAGCAAAGACAATTAATATGAAAGAAAAGTGAGATGCAAATGTCTTTTTTTTTTTTAGCTTAATAGCAGCTGTACCCTCTCCTGCAGTCTTCGTCTAAATTTTGCTAGGTCCCTCCTTATCTTCTGCCTTTTTCGGTCACTTTCGCATTCTGAAGCTAAATCATTGGCAGTGGCCTCTCCATCCTCATTCATATTTACAGAGGGGGACCTCATCAATTAGTCAATTTTTGTTACGGCAGATAACCGGCTAAAGTATCGATCGATTTGCTGCTGTATCAACCGGTCAGTCTTAGTCAACATTTCTGGCTGGTGTCGTCTCTTAAACTCGATATTTGGGAAATCACATTAGAGGCGGTTGCCTTGCTAGTTTCCTCCCTTGTCCAGCACACGTCTAGGAGATAATTCTCTGCTTTCTGAGAAAAGGTGGCTGTTTTTTGTGTTTTCCAAAGAGCCCATCCAAAGTCCTCTTGGCTAGTTAGGGATTGTTCGTCAGAATTTTTACCTGAGGTCCGACCTTGAACGTAGCCATCCCCTATAGAATGGCAAGCCGGTCTTAGTCCATTTCCTCTTGATCTTATCCTAGGCGGAATTTTTTTGTCGGCCTCACTGTGTTTGTCTTTGTCAGGGTACATTTGGATGGCAGCCAATGACTGAAACATCTTGATACATCCTTCTTTTAGCAAGAATATCTCGCTTTCTTGTTTTGTCTATGACGGATTGGGTATAGCTCTCGCGATGACCCGCGTTCAGAAATCTGTGCACGTTGCTGATAACCACCCGCTTCTACGATTAGTTTGCTGAAGGTGCCAGTTGGTCTGCGCTATAAACTTGTCGCAGTTCTTAAGTCAGTGGGAGGATCGCCCACCTCTATCTATGTGAGTGCCTCTACAGTACCTGCGTATCCCTAGCAATCATATGATATAAAGTTCATCTCAGTCACAAATTACCAGTAAGGAAAACTGATGTTCAGATAAGCACTCTTCTTGCCCTTCTTCCTTATTCATTACCGACTCTAAGATAGCAGCTACAGTACGCATTCTATTTAGGTTTACAGTCACCTTGCCGCCACCGGGAAGACTCGCCACCAGCTTTGATTTCTTCTGCCATCTGCAGATTCATCTCTCTCTCACTTTATGTCTCTGATTTTTATGAGGAGGATACTGGCATTTACGAACCCGAAGGTCTAAATCTCACACCAAGTTGTGCACGATATTTGAGGTACATCGTGAAATCGCGGCCTTCGTAATCTCCAAATAAGCCAATACGCGCTAGAATAAGCTCCATCTCGGACGAAACGCATGTTTGGGATACATCGACGTCTCTCAAATGTTTTTTTTTAAGCTGTATACCCAGGAATTTAGAGGTGTGAGCTGTTTCCGTTCCTGGCCAGCGCGAGAAAAATAACATTTGGTTCTACAGTTAGTTGCAAATGAACAAGACAACTGCACCATCTTGACTTTATCAATTCGAGTGTTAGATTAAATTGAGGGCTTTTTAGACACTCGATTTCTTATATGACATCACTATGAAGACGTAATACAACTGATACACCTACACTACATAGGATTAACAATGTCTGTTGCGCTGTTACGAGAAGGAGGAAAATTTACCGGAAGTGTAAACTCTTTTTAAAAAGAGTTTCAGAGACGTTTCAGAGACGTCTATCTTTGATCGGCTGTCACAAAAAAATGACCCCCACTTAAATTTACTAGGAAAAATGAACTTACCAACTCCTTGTTGAAAAAATTGGAATTCATGTGACCGATACGCCGGTTGTTTCAATTTTTCTTTTTCCTCGGGCTGATATGAAACAGTTCATAAATTGACTAATGAATAAAGTGTTTTCAAATACCGTTCGGGATTTGCCTTTTTTTTCTGCGTGCAAATCAAGGGTAGACAAAGTTTTTCAAACATTTGACTAGAATTTCATGGAGTTCACCTCGATAATTTTCGTCGTCCAGAGTCAAGACGCGCCAAGCTAAGCGACATCGCCCTCTAGTAAAATGATTTTCCAAAGAATAAACGTGGCGAGCGTGAGGAAACGCACATTTTTCTCATCATTGTGATCAAAGCCCAGTGATGTACCTAAATTGGTACTTACGGTATCAAACCATTGATTATGACAGGTAGAGCTTAGTTTTTCTGTCGAGGTCGACGTGACTTCACATTAAAAGCATTTTTGACGGAACAAACTAGTGAGCATCACTGCACGAACTGAGAAAGTAAAAACTTGTATTTATCTCCCACGCGTTCGTCTGACAATAATAGACTTCATCAAGGATTTTTTCAAGTAGGGTAAATAAGCTTGTTCATATACAAATAGTAAATAAGTTGTCTCTTTGCTATTGAAGCCAGTGGATAGAATTCGCCAGTTGCGCCTACGGTGTTATACGTGCGTGACATTTTCCGGACGTTACATGTACGAGTACGTGATCTGTTTGAGGGTCACAGATTTAGTGTAAATATTTCACTCCTCAACATCACCCAATGTCTCTAGTTTACAGAGGTCTTAGAACGTTTCATTATATGGAGTTGCCTTCAGCGAGTAGAAGGCTACAGGCGAATTTCTCAGGCGTAATTGCCTTTGATTTCTCAATTGATGTTGTCGCAAACACAGTTTTTGGGAGTCACGAGACAAAAAACTTATCAGGACCTAGTTTCGTGTTCTAATGGAAATAAATAGCAAATAAAAACGCATTTTCTTGAGAAATAAAGTCACAAATGACGGGGATTCTCTGAAACAAGTAGTGATAGAAAAGTATTTCAGTTCTGGTCAATATTGACTTTTCACGGCCTACTTCCAAATCTGAGGGAACGTGCTGAGGGAATAAAAAAACATAAATGTGTGATAATGCAAGCAAGAGAATGAAAATCCAAATGAAGAAAAAGGAGAAAAAAATAGGAAGCCGTGTTGCAGCGTGCAGATATCTTTTGAGCCAGATCTACACACCTAAGCCCGACACCACCCAGAGAAACTCGAAAGAGTGCTGTATATGAACTAGCTCGCACGTGCACGCAGGAAAGGCCATGACAATCAGAGAAAATAATAGAAAATGCAAATGATATTTGAAGTCAAAAAACAGGAAAATAAGATAACAGAAGGATTAAGAACTTTCTAGAAGTGTCTTCTTGAAAAAAAAAGGGTGAACAATTTTTACTTCTCATGAAAGGTCACGCAGTAACCCTACAAATACTACAACTACAATACTATACGTGGAATTTCTTGATGATGGAAAGTGGAAAAAAACATTTTCCAGTCTTATTTTCTGGAAACATGACGTAGTTAATGAATTTATGGGGCTACTGGTACTGGCTCCCACCAAATAAGGGAGGCAGAGTTTTCCGTCATTTGCGGTATGGAAAAGCCGGAAGTTGTTACACTCGGGAACTTGTACGTCAACAAGCAGGCGACATGTGACTTTAAAATCTCCTCTCCTGTTACAGTTTCCTTATTGTAAACTGTGCGATAATAATAATAGACGATCAAAGTATAGGCAAATGAATGTTTTGTTCTGTACAAGAGCCCTATGTCCTGATTTTAGCAAATCTTCAAAGTAATAAACGACTGAAGAAAGAAACGCTACGATTTTCCCATTGATTTTTCGTCTACATGCATCTCTCTAAACGTGAAATTTTCCATTCCTACAAAAAATCCCGAAAGTTTTCCCATTTTTTACCTTTCTTGATCAATCATCTTGTATAAAGAGCTAAAAAATGTAGGTTTATTTTGTCAAGTGACCGCCTAGAGCAAGAATTGCGTGATAGGTGTAGTTGAGAGAAACTTGTCACAGTCGTAGATTTTAAAAGATATCCAAGACAATACGGTAGTGCCCAGAGATTTTTTCGATGATTTTCAGAGATGAAATGATGGGTTATAAAGGGTAATTAAGAATAGTGTCGTGGCTTTCTGGCAACGGGAGATATTTGACCTCAAAGTTGTCAAATATTTGGATGAATCGAAAAGTCTAAAAACACAGTCGTATATTTGCCTCTGTTGATTGACAAGCCGTAGATCAAAGTGACTGATACTCGCGCCGCCTATTAACTGAAGATGTAAAAATATGTGTGCAAACCCTCAGAGTAATCGGTTAAATACCATCGCAGTGAGAGCTTCATACACTTTACCTATTTGAAGCGATTTCCTTGGTGAAAACGAAGAAAAACCGGGGGGAGGGTGGTCTATCTCCCTCCGGAAAAACTAAAACAGAAACCAGTCTTTTTTTTTTAGTTTTGGGGTAGACCCTTTAAATTGGCAAAGTTTCACTGAAATCGGTGGGATGGCACGTAGCACGACTGCTGGTGTTCTCGTAGACACGCTCTTAAGTCACTATCTGGCTGTTTTAAAAAGAAGCATCAGGACTTAACTAACTCTTAGGGTTTTTGTGGGAGTTGTTGATCCCAATTTAAATGTTCTTGGAAGTTTTAGTTGTCTTTAAAGCTAAATAAATCTAACTGAAACCTAATAGGGCCTGTTTATTCTTTTCCGTTTAGTTTTTTTGTTTTGTTTTGTTTTGTCTTTTTTTCTTCTGGTCTGTAATGATTTCAATGGTTTCAGCTTCTTTTCTCAGAATTGAGCTACAGTAATAGTATGCTTCTTTGTGTTGTTGCCTACAGGAGCCGCTGCTTGTGTTGAATTGAAGAGATTTGAAGAAGCAATCACTTGGTGTGATAAGGGACTAGCTGTATCCTTTGAAGAAATCTTTCATTTTTAACCGTAGGTATAATGGAAATAGTTTCCATAATTTGATGTTTCAAGGGAGAAAATACAAAGAAGGGTATTAATTATGATGGGAACTTGTCAGCTCACATACTTTAAGTGTGTGTTATTAAGAAACTTAGGAAAAGTTATTACCTCATGACTTATTAAAGATATTACTCCTTTTAGCCAATTTGACTTAGTTATACTATCCATGCCAATAACTGATACATTAGTTTAGATAACCCTTTAATTCACAGACCAAGTTTGTAATTATCCTTACTGTTAACCGTACGATTTTTGTAATGTTAGTTCAAAGAATTCAGCATTGGATCAACTAATTATCCCCAAATTGATATTTTTTTTTTACTCTCAACACTCATCTGATTGATATTGTATTGCTATTGTAAGGAGAAATTCTCTCTTGGTCACTCATGGGAGTTAAAGGGTTAAAATACTAATATTCATCCAGTTTATACATGGTACGTGGGTAGATGATCTCTCTAAAACAAGCCAGAACAAAAAGCTCGGTAATGTTTAGATATCTTATGCAGATTTTCTTGCCTTCGACCTTTTTCCACTACTTAGAGACTCGGAAACTTTCGTCCTGCTTTCCTATGGACAAATAAAAATTTTAAAGACACGTATTGGTGTTGTAGACTCATTTCTTCCACTGCTGTAAAACATTCGTCTGATGTTAAAGCTATATTAATTTAAAAATTGAGCAAGTGCTGCTCACTTTTTGGAAACTAGGGATTAAATTTAGATATTTCGCGTTAAATATTTAGGCTGCACACTGAAAAAAGATTTTTTGAAATGTAAATTTACTTCATAACTGACTTTAAGACTGAATGTTGATAAAACATCTATCTTTCATGCAAGCCCTCCTAATGGGCCATTTTATAGTTGTGTACTTAGTTGCCAAGCCTTTGATTTGGATTAAAGCTGAAGATGACCTTGTTGAGATAGAGACCAGTATCTAGAAACGATAATAACAAAGCAGTTTGCTTTAAATAGCAGCAATGTTTTTATCACAACAAGGTCACCCTTAGCCACACTCCTGTTCAAAGGCTTGGGAACCAAGCACGCAAATGTTAAAATGGACTATCATAAATCAATATGATCAGAAAAATAATATTTTTTTGTTTTTTCCAAATTTTTAACCCTTAACATAAAAAAGATTGACAAAAACAATAGGATCTTGTTGTCATTAAGACTTCAGTCTGTCAGTGAAGTGGCAGATAAGTCCATGGAGGAAAAAGATCCTATTAGTCATGACAACGGTAGTGCAAGTTCAGGTGATGTCAAGAAAGTCATAGGTCTCTATAATCGGGGAGAAGAAGCCATAGAGTACCTCAACCTATATCTTAAAAAAACTAAAGAAGTAGGAGACAAGCATGGGGAGGGTAACGCTTATGGCAATCTTGGCAATGCTTATCACCGTCTGGGTGATTTCAAAAAAGCCATAGAGTACCACAACCTACATCTTAAAATAGCTAAAGAAGTAGGAAACAAGCATGGGGAGGGTAACGCTTATGGCAATCTTGGCAATGCTTATCAGAGTCTGGGTGATTTCAAAAAAGCCATAGAGTACCACAACCTACATCTTAAAATAGCTAAAGAAGTAGGAGACAAGCATGGGGAGGGTAACGCTTATGGCAATCTTGGCAATGCTTATGAGAGTCTGGGTGATTTCAAAAAAGCCATAGAGTACCACAACCTACATCTTAAAATAGCTAAAGAAGTAGGAGACAAGCATGGGGAGGGTGGTGCTTATGGCAATCTTGGCATTGCTTATAAGAGTCTGGGTGATTTCAAAAAAGCCATAGAGTACCACAACCTAAATCTTAAAATAGCTAAAGAAGTAGGAGACAAGCATGGGGAGGGTAACGCTTATGGCAATCTTGGCAATGCTTATGACCGTCTGGGTGATTTAAAAAAAGCCATAGAGTACCACAACCTACGTCTTAAAATAGCTAAAGAAGTAGGAAACAAGCATGGGGAGGGTAACGCTTATGGCAATCTTGGCAATGCTTATCTTAGTCTGGGTGATTTCAAAAAAGCCATAGAGTACCACAACCTAGCTCTTAAAATAGCTAAAGAAGTAGGAGACAAGCATGGGGAGGGTAACGCTTATGGCAATCTTGGCAATGCTTATCACCGTCTGGGTGATTTCAAAAAAGCCATAGAGTACCACAACCTACATCTTAAAATAGCTAAAGAAGTAGGAGACAAGCATGGGGAGGGTAACGCTTATGGCAATCTTGGCAATGCTTATCACCGTCTGGGTGATTTCAAAAAAGCCATAGAGTACCACAACCTACATCTTAAAATAGCTAAAGAAATAGGAGACAAGCATGGGGAGGGTGGTGCTTATGGCAATCTTGGCAATGCTTATCAGAGTCTGGGTGATTTCAAAAAAGCCATAGAGTACCACAACCTAGATCTTAAAATAGCTAAAGAAGTAGGAGACAAGCATGGGGAGGGTGGTGCTTATGGCAATCTTGGCAATGCTTATGACAGTCTGGGTGATTTCAAAAAAGCCATAGAGTACCACAACCTACATCTTAAAATAGCTAAAGAAGTAGGAGACAAGCATGGGGAGGGTGGTGCTTATGGCAATCTTGGCAATGCTTATTTAAGTCTGGGTAATTTCAAAAAAGCCATAGAGTACCACAACCTAGATCTTAAAATAGCTAAAGAAGTAGGAGACAAATCCTTGGAGGCAATTGCCTACTATTCATTAGGATGCGTTTTTGAGTTGCAAGGTGGACTGCCAAAAGCCGTTGAACATTACCAAGCTAGCATAAACTTATTCAATTCCTTGAGAGAACTTCTAAAATCAAAAGATGAGTGGAAAGTTAATTTTCGAAATCAGCATCAAATGGCGTATACGGGTTTGTGGAGAGTTCTCGTAGAACAAGGTAATGTAGATGAAGCCTTATTTGTTGCTGAGAAAGGACGAGCTCAAGCTCTCACCGACCTCATGGAATCCAGTTTTTGTGGTGGAACAATTCACCACAAGGGAGAAGATGAAGATTTCACAGTTTTAAAAAACGTTCCATCAAACACTGTCTTTCAGGCAGTGGACAAAGCTAACGTCAATCTTTGGGTTGTTTCCGAAGGAAAACAAGTTCGGTTAAGACAAAATAAACTCAAAGGTTTTGTTTCAGAGAATAGTGGAGTTAGCCAGTCCTTTGAGTCGTTCATGCTCGGTGTCTATACACAACTTGGTGTTCGTTCTAATGTGAGATGCGAGAATCGATCTTTAGATGCTTTGAGGGAGGGCCGTTCAAAAGTGGATGAGAAAACCAAAGAAGCCAACCCTCAACCTCATATCCAACAAGACGGATACTTGAGCACTTTGTATGATATCGTTATGAAGCCGGTGGCTGACTTGATTGAAGGGGATGAGCTACTCATTATTCCTGATGGACCCCTGTGGATCGCTCCTTACGCTGCATTGAAGGATGGTAATTCTAAATACCTGTGTGAATCGTTCACAATCCGAGTCGCTCCATCGTTAGCAAGTCTTAGACTCATTGCCGATTGCCCAGATGATTATCACAAAAGCAGTGGTGCGTTACTTGTAGGAGATCCGTGGGTATCCGAGGTTACTAACAGCGAGGGAGAGAAAGTCCTCGAGCAGCTTTCGTGTGCTAAAGAAGAAGTAGAAATGATCGGAAAAATTCTGAATATCACGCCAATCACTGGCAGACAAGCCACGAAACGTGAGGTGTTGAAAAGACTCAGTTCCGTTTCCTTAGTTCACTTTGCGGCACACGGATGTCCGGAAACTGGCGAAATTGCTCTTACACCTGACCTAGACCGAATATCTACTGTGCCTACGGAGAAGGAGGATTATATTTTAACGATTCGAGATGTGTTGAATGTTCAACTTCGCGCCAAACTTGTTGTGCTCAGTTGCTGCCACAGTGGTCGGGGCGAGATCAAGGCTGAAGGTGTGGTTGGCATTGCGCGCGCTTTTATGGGAGCTGGTGCTCGGTCTGTTGTGGTGTCCCTGTGGGCGATTGATGATGAGGCTACTCTCCAGTTCATGAAATGCTTTTATCAACACCTTGCAGAAGGTAAACCTACAAGCAAGTCACTGAACCTGGCCATGAAAAGCCTCAGAGAATCAGATGAGTTCCACGACATCAAATACTGGGCGCCCTTTATGCTGATTGGAGATGACCTCACGTTTGACCCGATGGCAAAGGAAAGAGAAAATTTGAATAGAAAATCAAATAAATGAGAAAATCTTTTTTTCATCTCAAAAGAATGAAGTAGGAACTTGGAAGGTTTAAATGTTTGTCTATTTTAAACAAATTTTGGCTATTTTTCTCTACTTTTTATTTTTTTTGTTAAATGGAACTTGAGATGTGAAACTTTACTGTGGTGAAGAAATAAACCAGTCTATTTCATTATATTTTGATCAGTGGAATTGTCTTTTTTTGTTACTTTAACAAATTTAAATGCCTGCGAAGAGAACGAAATGCAACAAGGCCTCTGTTATGAACGAGGTTTCCATTTCCACCAACATGTCACTCAGCTCTGTTCCTGTATTACAATCAGTTGTATGGAAAATTATTTGAAGGTTATTTCTTTTACTCAACCAGGAGCTTTTTCACCGGATTTTAATTACCTTTATGCTCTAAGCTTTTGATAAGCAAAGAAACAATTTGTCATTTGCAAAAGTTGGCGAATTTTTATTTCCAAAACTTTGATTGAATATGTATGTGAATTGAATATGACAATTGATCTTGGACCGTTTTCTACATCATAAATTACTTTGTTACAATTTACCTTCATCTTTACAAAAAAATTGATCACCATTTTCAAGTCAATCCATTTTAATGCAATCTAGTTCTGTCAGTGCCAAGATTGCCATTCTAAGCTTAATTTGTAGAAGTAAACATCAGAGATGATGTTATTAAATTTACTAACCATATGTTAGAGACATTACACCTACTTTTAGGGGTGTAGCCAGCCTCTAGTCCCGTAGGCCCGGCCAACAATTGTTTTCTGCCCGCTTGACTTTTACTAAAAGATAATATGACTCTTGCAAATGTTGAAACAAAAACTGAAATTTGTGAGGGAAGAGGCTCACATTTAGTCAAAAAGCTGGCTATAACCCCTTTTTTTAATCAAACGAGTCTGGCCAACTTTTGTCCGTTTTACCAAACACTTCTCCGTTCGTTTTAAAGAACGACGACGGAGAGGCTAAAAGTTGTCCATGTAATCTAAACTAGGAAAGAGAGACGTAGAGTTCACTATACTTAAAGTTTCCATAGGTGTGACTTTTATTGTATGTGACATGGAATTTGCTGTTTCTAGTACGACAATATTTACGCTCATAAATGAGAGAAGCAGTTAACGTAAGCCATGTAGTCCTCAATGGGAATTATGTTGGTGAAAAGGCTCATTAATTAATGTAAACCTAGTGCGTAGTTGAAAAGGTTCAGGGCTTCAGGATAAAACTTCTAATTGTTGAAAATCACCTCTTGAAATTTTTTCATCGCTTTAAATTTACCTCAGCATGATTTGAGGATGTCTGATAATATGCGTGGTTAAATATAATGTAACTAGGATTTTAAAGACATTCTGGGATAGTTTCAACTAAACATGGTTTGTATAATGTCGGTGTATTTCGTGTGAAGTGTTTTGATGCTTTTTTTTTTTTTTAAGTTGAAGATAATTGTTCATTTACCTTAGTTTATATTAATTAACTCATGAACTCCCAAGTTCTGAAGAAAAATTCTCCCAACTGATGAGAATGTGTTTCTCTTTGCTACCGCTTGTTCCAAGAATTCGATGTAACATTATGTTTCTAGGAAAAGATTATCCTCCAGTTTGGATTTTCTCGAATTGTTATTGACTCCATGTTTGTCGGTGTATTAATACCGTGAGGAGAATTTAAATTATGATAAATCTTGGGAGTAAATGGGTTCATTTTAGCGTCTCCGTTTAGTGCGTATTTTACTTAATGCCTTGAACGTTTTAATGCAGTATTATTGTGCTTTTTTTACTTCTTTGTGTAAGAGATATATACGGTGTATAAAATACAAAAACTGCGTTGATTTACATTGTCTGTCTCCATATTCTTAGGATGCACGTAAGATGTAGAGAAAGCAGATCCTATGGGGACTTCAATGCTTGTTTTGACCCGCGCGCCAAGTTGATAATGTGTGCAGCTAACAGTGTACTAACATACCATGTTTCAAGCCCCCGCCCACTTAGCAAAAGCGCGTCATCTCTTGGATTGTATCTCTTTCACTGTCTATTGCTCTCCGTATTGCCACACGGTTTTGAACGCCGACGGACGTGTTCATATTGTTACATGTGTGCGCCTTTTTTTATCTTTTTCCTCACACAAGTTTTTACACCTTTTCACATTTGCGCATCCCTTTATTTTTCTCCTTCCTCTGGTTCCTTCCATTTTTTTTTCGTCGCAATTTTCCTTTATTCCCATCTTTACGCGCACCTCTTTTATCGCCCTCAACTTTGTTCTTCTGCGCGCTTCATAGGACGCGAATATCTCCTTGTTTGTTTCAGTGTTCACTCGTCTCAATCTTCGCGCAACGTCAGGCTTCTTACAACTCATATACCTCGTTACTCCCCCATAGCAGTTGTTATCATGCGTATTATGTCCACTTTGTGATGGTGTCCTCTTAAAGTCATCTCTAGTGAAATATCCGTTTTCCTTTCGATTGATTCCTAGTCCACAGGGTGTCAGTATTTGCTCTCCTCAGTCCTCTCATCATAATAGCAGTTAGAAAGCGGAAGAGCTCCCTCCAAGTCTCGGCGACATAATCGGTGCATTTTGTTGGAAAAGAGTCCCTCAATGTCCAAATTAAGGCCTCTTCTATCATCTGATTGGTAATGGGTCAAACTCTCGCCCAGGGTCCATCTACAATGCGAATCCAAGATGGTGGCAGGCCAATCCACAGCCGAACTCTACTGAGTCGGTAGCCGCAATCTCCGATGTAGACGCAGAGAAGACCCTGAAGAAGAGTTTTGACAAAACAATAATTAAGAAAGGATAAGTTACAATAGTGCTTACAGAGATAGCCGAGACAACTTGAGAGATTCATCATGAGCAAACAGGTTTCGTCGATTATTAAACTCCATGTCTCCTCGAATACGCACTCCTATATGCCCCTCTTCCCCGTCCCTATACATCCCTGTGCTGCAAGTTTTATCATCATATAGCACAATACAACATTAAACCCCAGAGTAGCACTGTAAATCCGTAAAATGCAGTAACTAGACAACACTTCACAACAATATGTACCCCTAGATAGCACTATGCTTCCCTCTACTGAATTTGAAATCACCATACAGCGCTATATAAACAATTGCTCCAATTTGGCGCCAAAATAAGTGCGAATATTTGTTCGCGGTCATTTTCTCGAATTTTCTGTTCCAAGATGCGGAAACTGTGAGCTTCGAGGAACAGATAATATCCAAGGACAAATATCCGTACATATTTTCGCGCAAAATAGACGCTATTGCCTTTTTTATCCTTCAAATATTTTGCAACGCACGTGAAAAATGTTAATGAACAGCTTACTGAATTGAATACTCGATGAAAACCTCTGCGTCGTTTAAAGAAAACACAGCATTTTCCAGCGCAGTCATGACTCGTCTGACGTGAAGATACAGAGATCGAGAGTTGATTACGGCCTCAAGTTTCGAACTCGTAAAGGTGGGAAATATGTCTTGAATTCTTGGGTTGGACTCAAAAAGTCTGAAACAAAATCATTCATGATCATCGTTATCAATTATGAATAATTGAAATTCGATTCACGTTTACTTTAGATTAAAAATTTTACTGCCATTTTGCCAGTTATACAAAGAAGTCAAGACACTGAGCAATACCCACAACAAGACACAGCTACAGTGTTGTGAATCTCCATCCCCATCTTCAATAGAACTATGCTATCACGAAGGTAGTGCGCGTGCGTTTGCATTTTAAAGTCACTTTAGCCCAAAATAATGACCCGATTGGCGAGAATACAGGCTAAACACCCAACAGCGCTGGTGCTTTTTGTATTTTGGCGTTTGCTTTCTAAAAACCCGAGAAAACGTTTTCACTGTCTATTAAATTAATGATTGTTTCCATTTCTCGGGTTCTTCTTTAAAACCGGAACTCGGTTCTTAGCGACTTGTTCAAGTACTGCTCTTATTTAAGAGTGCTTATTTAACTCAGATCGAGATGCCACTATATTTTTCGACTATATCAACTCTAGGCACCCTAACATCAAGTTCACTATGGAAAAACAGGTTAATCACAAATTACCCTTTTTAGATGTCCTGATTGACAACCATGAGCCCAGTTCCTCTCTAACTAGGATTTACCGCAAGAAAACTTTCACTGGGTTACTAACTAATTATTTCAGCTTCACCTCGTACTCTTACAAAGTGGGTCTCATTAAGACACTCGTTGATAGGGCTTACAAGATTAATAGCACCTGGTTAGGGTTTCACGACGACATTAACAAACTCACTGATATTCTAAAAAAGAATCTTTTCCCTGCTCATTTAATTAATCGAGAAGATTATAAACCGTTTCATTACTGGGACGAAAAACAATCATCATCCTCGGGGTTCCCTCCTACCACTTCACCTACGTTCTACTTTTTAAGCTACCCTACATAGGCCACTTTTCTGCTATCACTCAATAAAAGATCCGCCATTTATGAAGCGCTATTGCAATGACTTGGATATCAAACTGGTTTTCTCTTCCTTCAAAATCGGTAACTTGTTTGGTGTGAAAGACCCTGTCCCTGACCGGCTCCGTTCACGAGTGGTCTATAAGTATGTGCTGGTGTAATGCCTGTTACGTCGGTGAAACTTGCCGGAATTTTTCCACACGTGTTAGAGAGCACTTAGTAAGTGACAAGGCCTCTCACATTTTCAGGCATTTGAAAGATTCTCCGCACTGTCGCGCTCTATGTTCAGCAGATAACTTCCATGTTTTAGATCACGCCTCCACCGGTTTTCAGCTTAAGATAAAAGAGGCTATTTATATTCAAAGAGAACAACCATCTTTGAATAAACAATTACACCATGTAAATCTAAAACTATCTTTTTAATTCTCACACTTGCATGCTTTTTTTACCTCTCTTCTTGTTGTCACTATTCATCTTAATTAGCATTGTTCTACTTACTATATAATTCAACTTTCAACGCTTTGTACAGTAATTAACTGAAGATGACAGAAGTTTCTGTCGAAACATGTTTTACAAACTC